TACCGGGACCGCTGGATCGATGAAGATTTTATTTCGTACCGTCATCGAAACAGTTATCGATTCGTCGTCTACAAAACTCCAATTAATATTACACTGTGTAGGGAATTCGAAAATGTCGATACTGGACGTATAAGCTTCAAGCTCTGGAGCTAAAAACTATATCAATTTGTTTATGTTGAGTTAGGTATATGAGTATTACAAATCGGGTAAAGTGCCAACAACTCAATCGCCGTTACGAAACAATTTTAAACGTATACCATCCTAATAGACCATCACATGTTTTATCTAATCTAGTCATCGGCTCGATCATTGAATCAAGACGTTTCGGGATTGGCTATCTGTCGAATTGAGTGCTCCATCAGCCCGAGCGATCGTCCGTCGTATATCCAACATGTAACCCGTCGACGTAACATTTAGAGCTCGGCGTGTAGCCGCCCGATGACTGGTGAAAAAAAAAACTACACGAATCGATTATAGGCGAGGTACATATCGACTGTATCGAGTTCGTGTATCGGAACCGTGAGATGGTTCGCATTATAGGGTTGTCCAAACATCCAGGGTCGGTTCGATGTTCGGGTTATTAGACCAAAAAAACGTATCATCGCATCGTTTAATGATCGGAAATTGCCAAGTCATTGACTCTGAGGAGAAAAAGGGTGTAAAAATGGTAAAGTTTAAATAAATATATTCTTATTTCACGAACAACCAACCTTTTCATGTGGTTCTATACGATCCAACAAAAGAGAGTATTAGGTATGTTCATATTTTATATAATAACTTAATTAGTCAGTTCTATATGATTAATTTATTTATGTATGAGTTATAAAAGAGTTTACAGAAGATGTAATACATAAAAGATTTTATTAACACAAAAAAATGACATAACCGAGTCATTAGTGAAACTTTGAATTAAAACTCAATTTTCGGTTTGCTTAATGGACGTCGAATTTCTGAATGTCTGGACGCGGTGACGCTAAAATATTACTTGTATTTCGGCAGTAAGTAATGACAGTAAGAGCGCTTTAGTACGTTCTATTCAATAGAAAACGAGTTTTTATTATATTTTCATCGGAGGCGTCGTTAGCGAATTCATTGTGTTATATTTTTTCAATCGTGAGCGAAACAGGTGCGATGTCATCCCGTTTTTTATCCCGAAATGATTAATGTATCACACACTATCATCAAATTACATTTAATTAAAACTTCTAATATCATCCGAAATGAGTTAAAAAACAACTAACAGCATTGTAAAAAAATTTGTTAAACGAGCGTAATTAAATTCCATGGTCAATACGTTGAATTATTATCCGATACCGGCTGTCCGTTTTCCGGTGCACCAATATCTATCATGCTCGACACTCCGGTGCGTATAATTGTTTCTGTCAAAACGCGGTAATCGCGCGAGGGGCGAGCAGTGACAGGGCCGAGGGCCTCCCGCCGTCGCCTCATCGCTCATTAGAACAACTCCATTACACGCTCTGACCCCGCCGTCTTTGTCATCCGCAGCGGGGCCTCCGCGGTCTCAGGAATCATCGGTGCTCGGTCTTCGGGGCCGGAGAGTTTTTGTTCCAATCGAGATTGATTGTATGTGGATTAGAGGGTCACGCGAAACGGAGATATGTTAATTTGAAGTATCGTTGGTTGGGCTCGATTACTATTTCAGATAATAATTATCTCGGAATTCGAATCGGAAGGTTAGCTTATATAAATTGTTGGGGATTAAGACGGGTTTTCATTCTTAGCTAGCTTAGGATAATATTGAGTTAAATTAATGCATATTGCTATCTGATTGAAATGATTTTTTTTATTATTTATCCGCTTATTCTTCTAAGGTTATTGCAGTAATTAATAGGTGATAATATTAATTCCAGTAATTTTATACACCTTTCAAAAGAAACCATTTCTTACAATTGCAATGGTAACTCTTATATTTTTTATTCAGGTATAAAAAATTTAAAAAAATCGAATTAAATTAATAATGGTAATTTACTGTATACGATATTGGATTCGATCAGCTACTCTATCTATTGTATCACGTTGGGTGTTAATCAAGCATCTAATATTGTGCGGTTAAGCATGAAAATTAATATACCTCGTATACGGGTAGAATATCTATTCCGTGATATTCTCCGAGTTCCTGGCAACTGATTACAGGAAGCTGCCTCTGGATATTGCTTCGTTCCGCATTGATTTTCAGTAAGGGAGCCCGAGGGCATCAATGCTCACCTTCTCTGTTTATTAGCACAGTTGTTTACCGAGCGAAGGGTGCAATAAGAAAGACGAAATATTCGATATAATTGACAGAATATTTTTGTTCAGCAACTCTTTGTTCATCGTGATATTAATGTTGTTACAAATCGTATAGAGAAATGAATGATGTAAGGAAGGTCACCAATAATAGCAGCATGTCAAGAAAATAGTCCGAATGGTTTGGAAGACCGACAACTCAAACAAGAATTCGATTTGTGTTGTTTAGTTTTACATCGTTCCCGTACAATCTTCACTTGAGTAGGAAACGATTCAGCAGACGTTTTGCATAAGAACGCCTCATGAATATTAACTGGAAACTGCTTTCCTTATCTACATTTACCAGCGGCGTTTCCTACGATTTTATTCCATTCCTTATAAACTCAACCAGTGTGTAAAAAATAGATTTTCACCATTTAATTAATAGTTTATACAGTGTATTAGTGTATATAATTTACGGTATAGTATCGATAGATTAAATACAAAGATACAAAAGAAATTGAATTATGTGAATAAGTTATTTAAAACATGAATCGTCAACTTCCTCTGTACTGATGCAAACGCTTTCATCGTTTTTAGTTCTAAAACTCCAGCTTCTATCATACAAACCTCAGTGAATTTATTCATAAAAAAATTACAATCCAACATGCTGAAGCCGGTTGGTTACCATATTTTATCATTCTTGAGGATGGAAATCAGTTCGGGTGTAAACAGCAGCAAATGGTGGGTGAATTAATGAATTTGGAATATAACAGCGGATGAGTTTAGGTGGTGTGATTGCAGTTCATTTGCGATGCTAAACGCGCGAAAGGGCTGCAAACTCCATTGATTGCACGCCCAATTACCCCTCGATATCATGTTTACATAAGTAATCAGCGGGCACGGCGCAGTTGACACAGCGCCCGACCGGAGCTTTCTCGCTGCCGGAATTAAGCGATCCGCTAACCCCCGAATAACATAGGCGTACAGAAAAGACCTTTTTCTCGATGTAAATGTATCTTTTATGTAGTATTATCCAGTATGACGAAAGCAGGGAATTGATGTGCAAGAAGACTATGAACTTATTATTGATTTACTAGATTGATTTACTTTACTATTTTATTATCAATTGGTTGTTTTGCTTATGGCTGTTAATAGAACAAAACTAATATTGTTAACAATTATTCAATTCAAATATACATATGTATAGTCAATAATAAAAATATAAGTGTTCTTTGAAAATAATTATGTTTTATGACAGTAGAAATATACTTATGATATAGAACCACACAAGAATTATGTGTTAATTTTGCCAAAATATTCCTTCAAATATCTACTGTTTGAAAAATTAAGTGTTTTAAAAAAGTGTCTAAATAACAGGCACTTTTTCAATATTAATAATCTCCTTAAAGAAGAGGACATCAAGGAGATACATCAAAATATTTAATTCTTTATAATACTTCATAATACTTCTTATTTCCTAATATTTTGTACTTACAGTAGAAGCTTTTATTTAGTTTAAAGCACCTTTGTGCAGTTTTCTAATACAATCTTGTTGTTTTTGCAGTACGAAAATTTGAAAATGAAAACTATCAACAAGTAGGCATATCAGCTTTTCATTCGTTGTTAATAAACAGTGTAAAGGGGACAAAACGTTAATCCAAAAATCACAGCGACTTCGAAACAAAGCCGCGCACTGACGGCACGCTCTAATATCGCCAGATAACCGTTCCGAGGCGTTGGGAGCGCACCAGGTGCACGGGGAAGCGAGTTAATGCAAAACCGCAACATCATATACAACGAAGTTTACTTTTATAATCTGATTTGGGCGGATTATTTGAATATTTATATACATAAAATGTTACTGGAGGCGCTCGTCTGATGCATTAGCAACTTTTCAAACTGGAACTGTTCTAATGGAAGCAACCGACAGGAAACTCAACTTTCGCGGATTAACTTTCGGGAAATGCGAATTCGTTATAGGTATTTGTTTAATACCTACCGGAAAACGGTAGTACCTTCTATCCAGGGTGCATGCTCTATAGCTAATGATAAACCTCATTCCATTTAAACTATAACACCAAATTATTTGAGGTGCCCCTATATCAATTAACGTAATCGTTTTGTTTTGATTCGAGTACTCGAATTTCATTGGTTATAATAATTCGCCCGCAGCCCGCTAGATTATAGTATGCGAACGAAAACAAACACGCCGGCCAGACAGTAGGCTGCGTTGGCGTTTTGTTCAATCACGACGCTCATTTGTTCCAATCATAACCGGAGTCGGAAATTGTCTTTCCGATATTTTGATGCCTGTCACATTCGTTTATTGCCAGTTGGGGTTTTTCATTGTTTTTTTTTTTGGATATACTGCGAGACCTGTTATTAGTGCGTATTCGGATGCTTTTTAATGGCTCCGATGCGAAACGTGAAATGAAACGCGATAGGATAATGGAGGTGAATTTAAAAATGCGAATAATTGCATATGCGCTGATGATTGCTACATCCTATATTGTTTTCCTATTAATCTTTGCCTCCGTTCGTCTATCTAAATACACAGCAGTTATTCCGGTAACATTCACATCATTTGATTCCATTTTACATCAAATATACAAAATTTATTATGAATGCATCAATTTTCTATCAAAAGGTTCATTTTTTTTCTCTGTAATAATATGCAAAAATAAAGGATAGATAATAAACGAAATACGTTGTTGAATTGTAAAAGATTCAAACGCATTAAAGTCAATAAAATAATGTTTTATTAACCTATCAAAGTCACTATTTTTTATGTTTATAATCGATTAACCAAATTCCATGTTTTCACCAACAGTTATGGCAGATGAAAACCTGAAATATAAACTAGGTAAGTTTACCTCTACAAACCGATTCCGCATTTTAATTTCGATGTTATAGGTATCGGCGGTAAAAGTAGCTGTTTCTGCCTAAGCGAAAACAACGTGCTGTCTTCGGTGACGAGGGAGGCGACGCCGAAGCTCGAAACGAACCTCACCGCCGTAGAGAGATGGTTCCGTTGCATGGACACCAAGCAAGAGGGCATGATCACCTCCAAGGAGCTGCAGCTCGCCTTCGAAATTTTCCAGGGCAAGCATTTCTCCGAGGCGGTGTGCAAATTCGTGGTGAGGATATTCGATTTGGACAAAAGCGGCGGCGTGGACATTAAGGAATTCGAAACGCTGTACTATTACATCAAAATCTGGTTGAAGGCCTTCAATAACTTCGACAAGGACGGCAAGGGTTTCTTGACGGAGCCCGAGTTGGATTACGCCTTGCGCCAGTTGGATATAAACTTTTCGCCGAATTTCATCAAGTTTTTGATCACGAGGAACAATCCGAGCGCGAAAGTCATCTCCTTGGACCAGTACATTATAACTTGTATTCAAATTCAAAAGTTCACCGAAGAGTTCAAGAGCAGAGATCCTGATTTCACTGGAATTATTAATATTAACTACGAGGGTTTCTTGGAAATGGTTTTGAGTTGTTTGTGAATTATTCCAGGTTTCAAATACTTTTATTTTATGTTTGTTTTCAATACATTGATGCCGTCTAATTTGTTGAATTCCCTGCTATGGAGATACATATGTTATAGGTATTTTAGAGCATGTAAAATCAAATACCAAAATCATTCCTCTCCGTTATTGTAATTATTGATCTAAAGATACTTATCAAGTTATTTGAACAAAATATGACGTGGGAATACAATACCGTCTAAATATGAAGTGGTCTTATACAAATAAAACAAATAGATGGGTATTGTTTAAACAAAACTAGGTATTCTAAACACAGAATGGTCCACTTGAAAATAAGCTTTCTGAGAAATAGCTCCAATTGTCATACAGAGAATTAAATTTGTTTGATTTGAATCTCTCAAATGAAAGTAGGTTTAGTTTTACAATAGACCATTTTACCATTTCTTATTTTAATAGCACGTCGTTTAACAATTTGGTATATATTATAAATGAGGTGCTAAGAAATTAAAAGAAACCTATTTCAGTTTAAATCAGTTTTTATTCTTGGCTTCATGAATAATTTAAATAATATAAATGATTATTTAAAATGAGTTCGGAATAATTGCCAATTATTCTAAAAAAATAAAATTGTAGGGAAAATACTACAAATTGAATACATAACATTCCCTTACCTAAATATATCGAAATAACTTAAATACTAATCTGAATAGTATCTCATAGAGTACTCATAGATATTTGCTTTTACCAGTCGATTTAAATAAAAAATAAACACTTCTTGTAGAAAACAAAAAGTCTTGATTATCAAACAACAGCTTCCAAAACAAACTCGAGAGCGTGAGTGGATCTCAAAGTCCGCATCTTAGGTTGAGGAGTACTTGAATTTATGATCGGAGTCGAGCGATTAGTTGTTTGTTCTTCTCAAAATAAAATATTTTTTGCTTTCATGCTCTAGGCTTACCTCTTAAAATCAAACTATTGGGCAAAATTGGATTCCAACTGGTCAATTGGGACAAAAAGTGAAATATTAGTTTTGTACTATAATTCAATATACTCTATTATTATGCATACAATATTGTAGGGATCAAGAGTACCTAAGAACAGGATTTTAATTGCGAAACAGTTAATGCAACGGAAAATATTTGGTACGCGCAGTGGAAGAATAAATACGATATTAAATGGAATGACGTCTTTTGTATAGGAAAAGGTTGGATTGATCATGATACGACCATAAAGGTGTTATTAGAAAAGTGCTGGTCATGTCAGCAAATGGCTTCAACCTGCTACTTAGTCAGTAGCCAGTCAGACGGACTCTGACTATTGTTGAGCTATTATATGGCTTTTCATACAAAAAAAACACCTATCTTTGTTCAATTTATTTAATTCGTTTATTCACGTTAGTCCGGGCGATTCGTATCTCCACTTCGTTGAAATTTCTACACTAGTCATATGTAACTAAATTTAACTTAAAGCTGGATTACACTTTTTGTTCTTTCTATTAATTCCTCTATTTCCATATCTGATTTCTTTCTGCAAAATTTCGGAAACACTTCAACTGCAGCCACTCCACTATTAACTCGTTAACTGCGAGAATATTTTTTTAACGTTCGAAGACAGCTCTAACAACAAACTAAAATCCTCTTGGGATATTTATATCTCTTCTTAGATATTCTTTTTAAACAAGAATTTCATCGTATCCGGTAGCTATTTTGTCGCGGTACTCGCATGAGTTTGAATTAATGCTTATTATGAAAGCTATTCACCTTCGATTTATCCTCAGTTCGATCGTCCCTAGTCGTTTAACTAAAAACGTACGCACAACGATTAAAAATCGCCTAACAAAGACATAATCCTGCGAAGATTAGCTTATACAGTGGACGTCGTTAGGAGATTGGAGTAGGTGCATAGAAATTGCAAGAGTAACAATCTAATAATTAATTACGTTATTGTGGCGAATGTGAAATGCTGATCAATGAGATCTATACACTTTATTAATTTCATACAATAACTTATTCAATATGTTCACTCAGAAAATGCTATATACAAAATAAATTCCCAGAATGATTACCTAACAGTTGCTGACAAGAGCATTTTGTGCACTGTATAGGTGTAATAATAATAAAGCATTATACATCTACATAATCATTGATAACATCACAACTACTGAAAGTCCCATAACGAGCTCGAATGTAAGCACCTTCAAATTTTCCCATAACATCAAAGAAGCCATCGAAGTAGGTAGAATACACGTTGGCTTTCAAGCAGTCAATTAAAGACTCGTGACATAGCTATTAGAGAATAGAATTAGTGAAGAAAAAGGCGAAGAGAATACGGTAGCAATTAGGTAGTAGGTAAGTCTCTACGGGTTGAATCACCTTCCGACCTAACGAAATTTTATCTTAAATTTCGATGATGTGATTTTACGAGGCAAGTCAGGACTCGTTTGATTCGAAGTCGCATATCCCGGTATTTCATCCCATTCATTTACTCATGAAACACTAACTAGGTATTTATTATGTTCAGAAGGCGAAGAGTATTATTTTACTTGGAGTTAATTAAACAACCTATTGAAAAAATATACAACATAGTAAGATGATTTTATTTCAATCCGGTCCTGTTGGATATTATTCAGCATCCAAAAGTTAAAAACCTCTTCGCTAAGTATCTATTCATTAGCGTCTGTTTGATTGATTACTCAGGTAGATTATAGTGTATTATTGAATGTCGCTATTATTTTCAAACCAGAATGAAATATAAGCCGGCAACCCGTTTTCGAATTCGAAGTATTATTATAGACGATTTAAATATTTGCTTCGACTTCATCTGTTATCTGCTGGGTAGATTAGTGAAACCACTAATGCAACCAAAAATATCTGAAGATTTTTTTTTATTTCCTAAAGATCGTTGAATGAACTTGCACCGCCTAAATTCCAATATTCCTATAATTTTTTCAATGCATGGGCATTATGGTATAAACTCCGTGAAGCCATTCCGAATATTTACAATAGACCATGCATTAATGAGTCATTTGAAATGTGTTTCTTTTTCAACAATATCTCATCGTAATGTCTCATTTGTGAAGGCTCCTTAGACAATGACAGCTTGATTCCTTTCCCCAGGTCTAATGTCCGTAACGAATGAGGCGGCAGATGCTCTAAAGAATAACATGTCAAGGGTTTTCTGACAAATTACACTTACTAAAGCATCGAACGTTTTACCACATACAGGACTCAACCCGCGATTTCGTTTTCCATTTTACTATGTTTTATTTTTTATGTTATAAGTAACATTATAGGCATTAAGAAAAATAAGTTATTACATATTTAGTCATGCCAAAATGTATTTTGTATCAAAGTACCTGCTTAATAGTATATTTGTGGTAAATAGATAAACATAGTGGGTTATTCAAAACTTCCATTATTTAGTATATTTTGAGAATGGTGCGTATACTAAAAGATATTATCTGAAAAAATATACTGGATACTTTATGTGGTAAAAAGGGGGTTACCAAAGTGAAACGTGTATAGGTGTTAAAAAAGCTTTTTAGAAAAGCATTAAAGGTTAACCCTAAATATCCAGTTAGAATTTATTTGATCTAATATATTGGAATGATTAATTGCTGTTTAAAACCTATAGAATTTGAGTATTACTCCGAGCGTAACGTGTTTTATTAATTTTATATTACGTTTAGAACATCCGTTCAAGCACCCCAAAAATGACATGCTTAACTACAGGAAACTGTCTTACCAGTTCCGATATTGGAAGGAAGAAAATTTCCAACAGTTAGGAAATGACTAATGATTGCGATTCGATGAACCTGTTTAGTATTGTATGTAGCATTTCGACCGCCAACTGTTGTCTCTAAATTCGTTAAAGTGTTAATAACGTCAACAATTTCGTTAATGCCTCGATTTGGGAAGTTTCTGTAACTGTAGCCTGGTATAATACCGCGATTCCCACCTCTATAGCGGTTGCTGAGGAAAAGCGGGACGCGAATCGAAGACTTCCGATAAATTACGTTAGAATGGAGAGAATCACTTGACTACCAGCGGACTTGTCCGAGGCGCAAATCCGGGACTTTGTAAGTGAGTCAGCTACTACTCCCGGTATTGACGTTTCGAAATGAAAATAAAATGAAATTTTCGCTCGAACGAAGTTTGTCTCTCCGGGGAAAACCTTTCTGGAACATCATCGGTGTGCGCCACGATCGATTGCCTCGATTGTTCTTGATTTTAAAAAAATAATTGGAATAATTCGTAAAAAATGAATCGACCTCACTCCCTCTACTTTTCGATTCAGTCGGCGCACCTGCGGCGAAGGCGAGAATATAATGCACTAAAAACGCAATTTAATTAATATTAAAGGACTATTAAAGACGGGAAGTGACATACAAAGTGCCTGCAATCAAGAAATGTTTGTATAGTGTCCGCTCCAAGACTGCCAGCGCACAGATGGCGAGATTACCAACGATATAAATGATAGTTCTTAATCGCTTACCTCGTTTCGTAAATGACTTTTTCAACATGTTCTTACTTTGTTAGGGAAAGATGCTGATTTAATTTCAACTGAATTAAATACGGCGTTGGGGGAGCTAAATAAGTATTTTCTTTATAACATACCCCAGCTTATAATATTATAACTATGTAGGTATAGAGTGCTTCTCAAGTGTTTATCTTCTTTGGTCGCTGAAACTAAGTACATGAACCTCACTCATGTTGCTCAACGCAGGCATATAGCATTTAATAAAAATCTGCGTAATTGCGTACGAGGCGAGTGTAAATAAGAATACTATAGACTCACACCTATAATTTGAGTAATTTAGATTTAAGTTTTTAGCCAATATAAATGTTAATTTTAGTTGAGGAATATTCAGACAAAGCGTAAATAAATCTCGAGTCTTGCACTCGGCAATTAGTTTCATACAATGGAAAAACATTGTAGAAAATTGCAGTTGTCATACTCAAAACGCAGTAAATATTGATTTGTGTGTAATTTACAGCCTCTAAAGTTGCTTCGAAACATACAGGGTATGCCCTGTATAATAAAAAACGAATTAAACTCTTACTATACTTATTTCAATCAAGATATTTAGTCAGATGTATGTTTGTGTGTATATAAAAATTATCTTTAAAAAAATTTGCATTCTTTTACTTCTGCGTTCATTTTACATGCGATTAGTATGCGACTAATTAGTTTAGCATATTTCTCCCTATCCCTGTATGTTGTAATTTTATAATAAAGATGGAACATTCATTAATATAATTTTCTCCAGTAACAACATTAAGTCATAAACATTATAATAAATAACGGACACTAAGTTGAGGCGAGAAAGTTAGACGTTAAAGTTTTTATGAGTTTATTCTCTCGAAAAGCGACGCAAATTAGCACGATAGATTACAAGGAAGATTTCTTTTCTTAATTTTTAATTTTGGGTACATTTCGAGCGGCGTTCAAAACGATAAATTACCCGTACAATTAGTCGCGGCTTGTAAATATTTTTCGAAAATAAAAAAAAACCGCCGGTAATTACGTTTAAGTACGTACTGCCAATTCATTTTAGGGATCATACGAGCAAAAGCACCTTTTGGACAAAAACACGTCGTATAACCAGATACCGCGCTCTTTTTAATTTCCTCCCGAAAAAAATTACTGGCTCTCTTTCGCGAACGCTGCGTAAACGAGTGTAACATCTTCCGTAGGAAGCATCTGCTTTATAATCGTTTTTTACTATTAATGACGTTTTTATTACGTCATTAAGGCGTAAGCAGCCGACAAATTCATTAAAAATACTACCGGGAAGGAAGACGCGTGTCGAATTAGGTGGAATTAAAATAACCTCGGCAAAATCCATATATTTGGTATTGGATTGAAAATTGTATGGTCAAAAATAATACTAACAATAATAATTCGGAGCATTGCGTATTTTTTAGCTGTATTCTTGGTCATTTTTAGAATTCAAATAAAATTAAAAACGCTAGAACTTCTACCACATTTCTACCACTTTAATGAGAAAAAAGAAATAGAATATTCAAAATTAACATACTCTAAGAAGAGAAATTATAATATTGATAATTTTAAGCAATACATGTATGTTTTATACAGCTCTATATATTTCTAATCATTTTTAGAATTCAAATAAATTTAAAAACGTTAAAGTAGAAGTTACCAATTTTTTCGATGAGACATCCTGTATACTAACCACATCAACGAAAAGAAAAACGAGATAGAGATTCAAATTTTTCAATCTGAAGGAAAGGGATTTTCGCAGGGGGCCCCTCGAATTTCAAACAAACCTCGAGTTGCGTAAGCTTGAAGGATCGATCCGGTAATGCAATTATTTGCAATACCCGGCACCTTTTCGAGTGGATGCCTTTTAGTCAAGTTCCCACTCGAGTTTACGACGTTATCCATAATACAACAGCCAACAGACAAGACATACGACGCGAAGTCGATGTCAAACTCCATTCTTCATAAGCCTATATAGCTGATTGTGCCGGAAGTTCATTCCATTTTTTCCTATTTTGAAAAACATTTTCATTATCCTCTGCATGGTGCGCCGTAAACTTTCCGCGGGTTCGCTCGAAAAAATCGCTTCTGCCGTATCGGGTGCTTCTAATTAACAAGCACTCTGAAGATCTAATAGGTAAAAAAGAAGAGGCATTCATCATCCCGAGGCCGTTGCGTATGACAAGTGAGGCGGTTTCTGTAATGTGATTCTTCAAATGCGAACAAAAAACGATGCTGCAGCTGACCATATAGGCTCAGGTAAATGCCCTTTGGTCGTCACAACCGTGAAATCCCGAATTAATTTAATTACTGGTTGAATAATCAATTTAATGGGTCAGTAAAATGTATGGTGTAGAACAAAGAAGAGTTGTATCATTTTATTAAATAAACCATCCCTATAGGTATAGATTTATTACGCATTTGTTAGGTCATCATAAAGTAATTTTATTTATTTTTACAAAAAAATCTAACAAAAAAACTTAGTGAAAAATAATTTATAGTATAGCGTTACTTATTTAGTGGAAGAATTCTTTAATAACATCTTGATCATCATCATCACCTTCAATATCTTTTACCAAGTAACTAATACGGGTGTATAACAAACAAATTTAACACAGGTAACAATCGGAAATTACCCGTAACAATTCGTGTGGTATGAAGAATTGAACGATAAAATCTTATTAATATATTTATATACAGGTTGTCCCTTAAGAACCAAAATTTATATATCTCCTGTTACACTTGCGGTGCAATTCCATTTTTTTAATATTCAAAATGATTAAAACAAAGAAGTAGAATTACTTTGAACAATTTCTATTAGTTTTATAAAATGGGACTTTCTGTACGATGGAATATTAGGCCTGACTAATCAAACACACCGGCTTTCATTTGCACCTCTTCTCACCTTGACGAATTCGGGTCTTTGTCGGCCACTGAGCCAAGGCTTTACACCTGCGACTTGATGAAAAAAAATTGAATAAAATGATATCTCAGTAATGTGATAATAATGATTACGAACGTTAGTTCCGAGCAATTGAGCGTCTTCTTATTTTAAGCGATAATATAGCTCAAAAATTGGAAGCTGTATAGGATGTTTTCTGTCGTTATGAAGCTTTTGATAAAATTTTAATATCATTTACTACTTTGTTCATTTATAAAATTAAACGATTTATCATTAATTTGAATATTTATTTAACAATGCTTACGGCAAGAAATTAACTCGTCCCATTGTTGTCATCAAAATTTTCAATTTTGTTGTCTTCTATATTATTATTGGGCAGTGGCTGAACCATAGGATACATCTGAGCTCCATAATACTAAAAAGATAAATATTTTTCTAGTTACTTTACTCAAAAATGTTCTTTAAGTACCTACCGAGTATGGTAAAAACTGTACCATACCTAATGGCAATGAAAACGCAAGACAATGAAGATTTTATAAAAACATAAGAATTCAAGTTAACGTGAAACAAGTAGAGTATCTTCATAGAATATTTCATTTCAATGAAATAATTTGTAATGAATTTACTGTGTGCAATTCTTACCCATGTATTATAGTTACTTGGTTGTGACTGGGTATAAATGGTGGATTTCTTTTTGACCTTGGTACAGGTAGGGCTTGTATTCGGTTTGACAGGATTTAGGACGCAACCGTTAATGATATAACTGGCGTATTTGGTGGCCAGTTCTTGGGTGGGATTGTTAGTCGATCCAAGGAGATTAATCAATTGCGAGTACTGCCAGTACGATAATATACCGGGTACTGTCATAACGATCCAAATTTTATTCATATTATCTGAAACGAGTTTTTTCCTAGATTTTGAAACTCGAAGAAAATACGAAATTACCAAAATTCCTGTAAATGTAATAGCTTCTGAGATATGATGGAAGTATGTCCCTTAATCTAAACTGAGCTTCGGTAGGCAGACAACAGTTGGAATGGCATTTTTGTATGGCTTCGAATAGGGCAATTTTAGGCGACATCGTATTGTATACTTCGTACATTATGGATACCACAGCAATCGCGTCTGATATTTTTGAAGATTTGGCGATTCGCATGCTTCCCAACGATCTTCTATAATGAACAAAATGCGCTTCTACTGGATAACTTTTCCCGTATATCATGTGATCCGAATAACAATGAAAATGTAGGTTATCTATGGGTACATTTAATCAACGATCAGATAAATAGATTAATATTTTAATACCTAATACGTATTGTTCTCCTAATATTCCACCGGATAATTTGGGCACTCTGCTATCCATAAAATTTTTCATTTTGAATTTAATATGAACGCCCCCATGCTCGGTTTTGTAAACGAAATATTTGGCTCGTCGCTCATAATTTTCGAATTTCAGCGGTGGAAATTTCATTTCCAATCGTGCCGAAAGAACTAATGGAATTTAAAATTAATTTTCCAAAAAAACGAGTACATAAATAATTCTGGAAATCAATACTATAATTTCCTTTTCACCACATCTTTTGACGGTTTTATTAATTGACTAGATATTTCAAAATCTATTCGTGTCATATTTTTAATATCTCATATAATTCAAAGGTTGTGCGAGATAAACTAAAAAAATGGCTCCAATCAAGAAAATAGAAAATAAGAGTATTTTATACAGGATGGGAAGATTGGAATAAAAATTGGGAGAATATATAAATAAATTTTTAAATAATAAAATATATGAATAGAGAGAAATGAAAAATCAAATTGAACAGAATCATTCCATATCATCTGTTTTACGCAATAATTATCTCACAAGCATACACTATAGACAGTGCGCGATATCATCTCCATGCACATCGCATCTCCACTTTTCCGAGAGATGAAATCGTCCCGGGTCTCTAGCATTACCATAACTCAACGTGTCACACGGAGTTTATCGTTGCTTAATTTACTGTTCCTAATTGGTAGGATCAAAGTAGCTGGCACCCCGAAGGTGCGAACGAAACGCCGCTCTGCCAGTGATACATCGAATTTTTAGGATAATTATTTCAGTCACACCCATTTAACACGTTCGATTCCACAGATTTTTTCAGATAAAGCGTTTAATAACCGCCGTGCGGAGGAGCGATGCCGCATTTGCATTTCTTTTACCGGCTGATAAGAATTAATATCTACTTCTGAGTTTGTAAAATCGCTTACAGCTATATGCTGCCTTTTTTATTATATCTGCTGTTTGTGAGGAGTGTGTTACGAATGTGGTTCATTTAAGTACATAAATCTAATGCTGCAGTTCTTCAGAATGGTGGTGCTTATATACAGAATGTCTCAAAAATAGAGTCATATTCTTGTAATTATGTATGATTTTAGATAATTGCCAAAATTCATCCAGTAAAGTATAATAAAAGTATGCGTTCGCCAATTTCTAGTATGTATTATGCTTGTACGTAGGATTTGTGAGTTTCCGGATAGATTCTTGAAATCAAAATATTACCCAACATAATTCATTTTGATTGTGGCTGGGCTTCATAAACACGAAACCAGCTACTCAATCACAGCAAGCAGACATTCGTTTTTTATTGTTACATTTCTATTTAGGTCTGTTCCTTTTCAATAGACGTAATGATCATTAAACAAAGAAATTATTCCGAAAGTTATTTCACACTTTGTTACTTCTTCATGCTCGTTATTTAATTGCTCAATGTTCGTTTACGTGACTGCGAAAAACTAGACCTATTTAATACAATAGCCATTCGTTTTTAACACCCCTCAGCAATGCTTCGAAATATTAAAAGTCATTCTCTTATCAACCAGGAGAGAACGTATCGCATTGCTACGTGTATAATTAATTACGACTGATAACTATCAAAATGTCGTGAATATGTTGCATTTATTTGTACACACAGGGTGTTCCAAAATAATAACTTTTAGCATGATTCATCATGATTTTATTCCTTTGATCACTATGTGTATCATAGGTTTATTATTTAGAAACATCTAAATAAAATTTTTAAGAGAATATATTGTATAAAAAGAAAATCTACTAAAGGTAAAATACATATCAAAGGGAATATATCAGCTAGATTAATTATAGACTATAAACTGTTTTACGCATAAAGTAAAGGTTTTACTGAATCACCCCGTACGGATAATGGCTGAAAAAATATATTAGTGAGAAAAGGACCGCGATGGCTAGATCCCAAAGAGGAAAATTAAACATTTCGGTGCGATAGTGATCCATTATCGCAACGTTCGTGTCTGTCACCCGAGGTACACTGGATGACAATGACTGATGTCCATATCCGAATGAGGTCCGCGTTCAAAATACGCGGGTTTTTTCTACTAAATCATACTTGGCCGGACATTATGTGCTTCGTTATTAAGACATCAGGTAAGTGTTAGATCATTCGGACAAAAAAAGAAACAATTTGATCGCTATCGACGAGGAAAAGAGCGAACATTCAAGTCATTATAGAGGTAGGTATGTATGTACTTAAAGTTATACAGGGTCGGTACGATATGAATATGTAGAAGAAAGAATGTGTGAGAACTATATCATTTAGAACTGTCCAGAGTCATTTCAAGTCAATTTAGAACTAACTATAAGACCATTTGAAATAGTTCATGATGATCTGAACAACAGAATAGATTCAGGACTATTTATTAACGGTCCAGAATTAACTATACCTAGAAAATAGATTATTTTTTCTGACGTTTACCAAATTATATCAAAACAATTTTTGCTCATCTAAATAATTCGTTTAAAAAGTGCCGTTGCAACGCGCGATTTCTTCGAATTTCATCACTTAAATTCTTATCGAAAAAAACCTATAAATATAATGCTTAAATTAACCGAAAGCGTCGGAGGATTTCTATTTGTTTTTTATGTTTCCCGCATCCAAGTCGGACGTTTTATTTAAATTTCAGCCGTAAATCCCAGAAAAAGCGTAAGAAAAATCGGAAGCGAATCCGAACAGCTATTGGAGCCTTTTGATTGGATTACTGGTAGATCTGGCGTCTCCATCGTCTGACTCTGCATTAATATTATTATCCCGGTAACGCGAAAAGGAATCGAATTATGAATCGAACGGCGGCGTTGCCGATTGATCCTTACTCGAATGAATGAATATCATATCGTTTTCGAGGTAAATTCGCTATTAAGAATTAATCAACTCGACTACGTGACGGAGATGAGCCATCAGACATTGGTGATAATTAAAAATATATCGATTAGACATTGGGCGTCAATCTATTGGAAAATCGAAAAATTGGCAGATAATGTGTAGATTTAGGCGAAAATGAAAGGCTGATTATCCATAGGTCACGTGCTCTTTCGGCCTTTAATTTGCCAGATCACGGATAACCTGCTGCTATGAAATACTCGACTCCACTCCGGCTACACCCTTTCATTTTCTCCGGGTTAATTGCATCGACGCCAAATTAATAGCCGGCTATCGGGTTTTCTGGCCCGATTCCTCTTGCAATTGATCGCGATCGCCGGAATTTTTTACAATGTATCAATTAAAAAAATGAAAGGTTTATTTCCCAATTGACTTCAAACGAGGTCCGAGTTTGTGCATAATCAAAACATTTAAATTTATATCGTTGTAAATAATACAGATAAAATATTAAATAATATAGTGTATATTATATTAAAAAATTAAAGAGAATTATTCTAAGGAAGCAATTAGGAAGTTTTTAAAGAAAAACTTGCAACATGCAAGATTAAACTTGATTTAACTAATTGTTATAATGCAACCTGTCCCGTAAAATTTTCTTGGAGATTTTAAAGAGACGAAACCAGTGATAACTAAAATCTTTTATTAGGTAGGTATAGATATAATTTATTTCACAACAGCGCATACAATTCTTCTGCTATACCTAACCCCTGAACTTATACTAAATGTTCTGAAAAAAAAAACTAAATATGTATTTAAACCCTATGCAAGAACAAATTAGCTACTATGTTATTGATCATGTAAAAACCTCACAGTAGGTACCTGAATATATAAAAAAAAGATATGTTGCTAATACACAATCAACTGGTATATTACAGATTACTATAGTAATTAATACCTATGCATCAGGAGGAAAAATTGGAGGAACCGTTTGAGGACCGCTCGTCGTCGCTATGCTGCTGTAATGGAATTACAATTTAGCTAACTTGTAAAATGTGGAGTGGTGTTTGTCGCGCTCGTTATTTTTTTGTGTGGCTTAGTATGAATGCGACGGGGGTTGGAAGCGCAGAAAATGGGGGAAGCCACCCCTTGTTTTTACAAAACTGCATATGTCGAAGTGCTAATGGACCGCGTGATATTTCAGTAAACTTTCAGTTATTTTTCATCAAGTATTGTTTCTTAATGAAAGCAAACAGGACGATGAAAGGGTCAATTATCGCTTTGTGCGGGGGGTAAAAGGATTATAAATAATCCTTAATTTGGTCCTTTATTAAATTGATGAATTTAACATGTTAATGATGTATTATTTAAATAAAAATTCGTAGGAATAGGTTACTTATACAGTACTATAAATATACCTAAGATACTATAACATTTTTTCTACCTACACGCACGTCCCTGGTACTCTTTAGTTCTGTCACAATTTTTCATTGATATGGTTATACAGGGTGATAGTATGCTATAGTTTACTCCTTCGTTCTCGTTTTGTTTGTATTTTACTCGATTTGTAGATAATTTACTGAATACGTATGTTTATAAAAAATGTTTGTAATATTATTCATTTCATTTTCAATATTATTTCTCTGAAATTCTCCTTTTCCATTGTATACCGTAATTGCTAACCTAACGACTAAAACAATAAACTCGCGACTTTCCAAGGCAAATAAAAAACACCTATACCTACCAGCTACCATGTTATTCACAATTTTCCATTCGAGTACACTCTATATAAATTCTCGAAAAATCCGGAGCGTTTCCGGGCATTCGGCGCGCGTTAAGCCTCTGCTTGATGTAGATACACTTACCTTTCGAAGATCGGAAATTGTTCCGAGTAAATCGAACTCGATGGATTGCCAGATTTTCCGGTATGATGGACATTGGAGGGATCAGTACGAAGAACCCGAATAAAACAAAACTGCCCCAAAATCTTATATCCGTGCGGCAAAAAAGTAAAAATTGAATTTAATAAGCAGTGGTGTAGTTAATTAATATAGCTGTGGGGCAAAAATTAAACTGCAATATTAAATATGAAAAAATAATTATTAGATATTATCTTAAATGTTGTTGTCATTAACACTTTCTATATAAATACAATGCAACAACTTCACGATTTAAGAAAGTATTTGGTAATATAATTTTGAGCATATTAATTCAAAAATTGCATCCAGTTACCCCATCTATCCCTCAAGAGCTGAACATTGAAGAACCAAAGGCGTATCCCCCTCGTAAAGTTGCCACCCCATTTTCCCTTTCTCTGCTGCATTTATGGGTGGAGATTATTCGCTGGTTGTGTGGTGGGGACAGTGTAATGGCTGCCAAACTTGGTGAGATATTGAGACAGATAATAGGAGATATCCTATATATTTCACAGCTTTCTGTAGGTAATGCTCCTAATTTGATCCCATGGGGAAG